TTATTATTATTATTAGTGGTGTGTTTAATATATTAATTATATTTAATTATTTTCTTCTACTAGTTTCCAGCTCAGGCTAAAATATCAATTAATTAATTAATCATCTTTTTTTCAAAGGAAAAACATAATAATGATAATAATAACAATAACAACAACAACAATATACCTTGAACATCCATTCATATTCATTGTTCTTATTAAAAGTTCCTTTTTGTAACCATTTAAGCTTGAGAGTAAATCTCGGACCAATTTCTTGTAGTTCTACTTTATCTTTACTTTGAAAATTATATCTATTTATTTATTTATTGTTTTTTTTTATTTTATTGATAATTAATAAATTAGCAAATGCATATATTATTTAGAATATTATTGATGGTTGTTCAGTTTTGTCTACCTGTGACGTCTAAAAAATATAAAATCCCTTTGATTGTGAAATGTAGCAACTTGTCTTCCTTGAAATTGTGGTACATGAGGAAATAAAGCTTGAAACCATCTACCGATAGTATGACCAAGTCTTGTATTAAAATTATTCAATATTAATTCTGGTTTATGATTTGAAGATCTTCCATGTCCCTTGATTAGCACATTTTATTATGAAAAGATATACACAAGTGAGATAGTGATCTTTTATCTTTATACTATAAAAAAAAATAATAACTAAAATCTTACATAAATTTCATGACTTAATTTCACATTCGTTAGCCTGAAATAAGCAGTTGGCCCATTTGGTAAATGTATTAAAGTCATTGAATCTGGTTTCATAAATTCACCCAATAAAAAATAATTAAATATAATTAATATATTAAACACACCACTAATAATAATAATAATAATAATAATAATAATAATAATAATAATAATAAATAGACCAATTACATGGTGATTTCTTATCTTCATTGATAAATAACAAATCAGTGAATTCTCTATTTTTACAAAATTCTATGATTTGTCCGATTGTGAATTTTTTATTCCTTCTGACATATTGACTGTTCGGAAATACGTCAACTAGTTCAGATGCAAACCGATAACTAGACTTTGATGTCACTTTGTTAGTAGTTATCAACATCTTTGGTGATAATCCATCTTGAAAATATTTCGAAAATTCATCAGACACTTCCTCCTCAAAAACCTCATCATCGTCCACCCCAATAATTGTTTCATCTACTTCTCGGGTATTATCAAGAGTTTTTGGTACATTTTTCTTCAATCTTGCCTTATAATAGTAATAATGATGATGGTGATCATGAATATAATTATGAATAGATGGAGGAATAAATAATTAATATATATATTTAATATTGCTACTACTTTTTTTTTCTCGGGATCTTTTTCCTCTTCCTCTCGTAATTTTAACCTCCTTTTCATTTTTTTGATGTTTTTTTCCTGTTTTTTCCTAGCGTAGTCATCTTTTTTCGTTCTATATTTTATTTTAGAAGGAGTAGCTGTCCGGCCCATGTTATTATTATTATTACTATTGTTATTACTATTTTTATTTTTATTTATTATTTATTTATTTTGAGAAAATTAAAAAAATTTTTTTTGGAAAAAAAATCTATTTATATGTAAATTTTACAAAGTAATAATAATAGTATATAGCAAAAAAATTACCGACACTGAAAAAAATTCTAATAATATTAATATCTATATTAATATTCTATTCTTATTATTATAGTGATGGTTTTTTTTATTTTAAAATTACGGAATATTTTTTGTTCATTTAGTTCGACTGGTAAATGAATTAGAAAGAACTAATCGAAGGATGCTCCTTAAAGGGACAATACTATAGACTCCAGAGCTAAAGACACAATAATTGAAGGAAAATTTATTTTTTTAGACATGTAAAAAACCATTTAGATCATGTTTCTTCACATGTAAAAAAAGTTTATTCATTATTATTTATATTGTGCATGCAATCGCAGTTCTAAAATATGTATAAGATGATATACATCTTCTGGAGTTGTGAATGAGATATGTAAAGGGATAGTCGCTTGATCAAGTAAGCAACTCCTATAAAGACCCAGTTCTCCACACATACACGCATTTCCAACCTTTTACCAGCAACATTGATCGTGAAAATGGACAACATACTTTTCATTGGCAATTTTTCAAAAGCTCTTTTGTTTTTAGACATCCGAATTTCATCGATAGAGTCCTTTGCCAGCCTGTTCAACTTTTTATGGTCCCGGACTTGTTTATCAATTGAAGATCCTGGTCGACCCGTTTCTAGATATTCTGCCTCAACTTTTTTTGTTATTTATTTTTGCAACAATCATATAATCTGGGTGTTTCGCCTGTTTATGTGACCCCTTTCGTTCCGCACTAGCTGAGCTTGTTTCATCGCCTCACACCCCCCAAATATCAAAATCCACAGGCATGTCATTCATTACAATATTTATTAAAGGTGATATAATTTCACACACATATGATCCTTCATTAATATTGGGGTTTCTTGTCGTTGCGTAAGTTTCCATTTTGGCGACCCCCAAATTCGACTTAATACTTCTAACATTTGGCGTGTTAATTCCTGTAGTTTTTCTGGCTCGTCTAAAAATTCGCCAAATGGTGCATCGCCAAATGTTTTAGGAGGGTTGAGACGTTTTTCCTTTTCTTTTTGAATAAATTTTTCACACATATCCTTTAATGTGTTATCGGTCGGGATTAAGAATTTTCTACTTGGTGCCTTAAAAACATCCTGTAATGAACCCGGAATCGTAGTAAAGGGTTCAAAACTATCATCTAAAATACATGAACATAATGGGTGATCATAACCCAAATCTTTTACATCGGTTCCATTTAATTCGCTTTTTACAGCACTCCACATAGTATTCTCATCCCCAGACGTTGATGATACCAACTAATTCACAAATGTTAATAATAGATAATTGAAAAAGAATAAAAATATAATCTATTTTAAAATACAAACCTTATGCACTTCATTCTTCAATGATTCGAGATTTTTAGTTGCGTCAGTTAGCCAGATATCCTCAACATTCTATAATTGTAAATATTTAAACATAATATTCATTTGTAATGAAATAGAATATTATAACCAAATCTTACTAAAACATCCATCTCCAATGAAGAGCGAATATAGTCAAAAGCATCCGAGACCTAACAAAAGCAATTTAAAATTCGTTAGTTAAACTCAAAAATAGTTTATTAGGTTCATGTTGGACGTAGATCAGTTTGGTTTTCTTTTTTCACACGTATTTTCAAGAATATGGCCATTTGTAAAAGATAACACCTCAGTAGAATCCGCATATGGCGTTTAATGTATATAAACAGTTACTCCCGACGTCCTTACAGAATTAATACTACAAAGACAAAGTGCATTCACTGTTTATACACAACCTTATGCATCATCAACATCGGTAAGAGGGGTGGACGAAATCTGTTTGCCCTCTTATAAACTATCTCGTCCGAACAAAAAATTATCGAAATATATATTTTGTTCCCCTCATGAGAAAACCAATAAATTCATCATATCTAATTAATTTTGATTTGTTATTTCTGAGACTTACACGCTGTTTTAAAAATTCGCCACTTCCAAAACCACTTATTATGTCCAATCTATCTTTTTCATTCATGTGAATAGTGTTTAATACTTTATCAACTACTTCGATAAAATTGGCCACCTCCTTCTCACGATTATCTGTCCATTCATGAGCTTCAACACGCTTATATAAAGCAGTAAAAATAGTTATAGCGGAAATTGGTGTATAAGTAATCAAGAAAGCTTCCATTTTTAAAATGGATAATTGTTATAAAATTAGTATTTTATATAACACGATGTAAAAAATTGCAAAATCACTATAAAAGCAATGAATAATTATTTGTCATTTCGATATACTGCCCTTTTAAACGTTTTCATTTCTCTTCAGTATTAATATTAATATTAAAACTTTTCGATAAGAAAAATTGCAAATGAGACACAAAAAGATATGAATGAGGAGAGTTTATTGTTCTTTATCAGTAATAATACTACGTAGAGTCTGATTCATATCAAAATTCATATGTTATGGGACTTGAGATCTCCGCCATCTCCGAGATCGTCAAGTTTTGGCTTATTTTACATTTTACAAGAGCGATCGGCAGATTGAAAAGCTTAATTTCCCCCATAGATGACGAAATATACTCAGCGCTTGACGCCTATGTCTTAATAGAATTGCCTTGTGAAGAAAGGATCTGGAAAATGGTTGGGGTCACGTAATTACCAATCATGCAATTTTTTCTTCTGGCAAGTTCTCAGGTTTAGCAAATGGAACAATATAAATAAACCGGGTTTGTGAGGTATCATTTTTATTTTATCGATTTTTTTTTTCAAAGGTAATACATTGTTTATTATCAGAGCCGTGTACTTTGTACATTGGCTTATGGAAAGCGAAATTCTACTTATTATAAATCTTTGTATTTAGGAAAAGAAAAATGGATGATAACAACAACAACAATAACGATAACAATAACGACAACAATAACGATAACAATAACGATAACAATAAAAACAACAATAACAATAAGAATAATTACGTTAATATTGATCTTAATTGTCTTATCTTATGTAAACATGCACTTAGTAATGGGCCATTTTATTTTTCCAAAATTCACGTTTCTAATAGAGATGATGTTAACGCAATAATAACTCAAGTTCAGGCTAATTTACCAAATAGATTAACTGATGTTCGTTATCAGCTTCGTAGATTTTCTCCTACCACTGGGGACTACCTCATGAATATGAATAAAGATAGCAGGATCTATGACCATTTCAGCGCGAATCCTGATCAAGATATTATTCACGTACTTGTGGAGCTGTTATCAGAAAATAATTGGGTTTTTTTTATTTTCATATCATGTAACTGCTATATGATTTTTTTTTGTTTTTATGTTGTTATTTGGCAACATTTTTTATATATCAATAATAAAGCAGATCATATTGACTATGAATTACAATTACTTTTAGCGAAACCTTTAGTAAAACCAAAAATGCAACGGGTTTAATGACACATGAAACTATAAAAGTCAATTCGAGAAAAAATTGAAGTCATTTATTTATATAGATATGTTAATATGTCTCGTAAATCTAAAAATAACAGACGAAAAACTCGAGGTAGATTCATTGACAATCCTAAGCAGTATATGCAATTTCAAAACCGAGATAAGTACACACATATAATTGATAAAGATCACATAACTGTCATAAATAGGAATACGTAAGACGTGAAGGGGATTTTTGATTATGTAGAATTATGCAGATATCTAGAGATAAATAACATTGATTCGAATAGGCAAATTCAGAGTCTATGACTCATATTCTCGATGTGTATGGCAAATAAAAATGACTCTTTATTAACAAAATATAAAAATATAAAATCCTTGTTACCTTAAGAATATTTTTTTGGTAATTTAACTAATTTCTTTTTCTTCGCCGATCTATTTTGTGATGGTGGCGATGAAACGGTAGACGCTGTTGAAGTTTGCGAAGAAATTGACATATCCAATGATTGTGACATATCCGATGATTGTGACATAAATGAAATAGAGTCATCGGTGGAATGCAATATTTTACGTATCGTGCATGCAATCGCGGTTCTAAAAGTCAGTAAAATATGTATAAGATGATATACATCTTCTGTGGTTGTGAACGAGATATATAAAGGAATGGTCGCTTGATCAAGTAAGAAACTCCTATAAGGACCCAATTCTCCAGACATACAACGCATTTCCAACCTTTTACCAGCAACATTGATCGTGAAAATGGACAAAATATTTTTCATTGGCAATTTTTCAAATGCTCTTTTGTTTTTAGACATCCGAGTTTCATCGATAGAGTCCTTTGCTAGTCTATCCAATTTTTTATGATCCCGGACTTGTTTATCAATAGAAGATCCTGGTCTACCTGTTTCTAGATATCCTGCCTCAACCCTTTTGTTATTTATTTTTGCAACAATCATGTAATCTGGGCGTTTCGCTTGTTTACGTGACCCCTTTCGTTCCGCACTAGCCGAGCTTGCTTCATCGCCCCACACCCCCAAATATCAAAATCTACAGGCATGTCATTCATTACAATATTTATTAAAGGTGATATAATTTCGCACACATATGATCCTTCATTAATATCGGGGCTTCCTGTCGTTGCGTAATCTTTCCATTTTGGCGACCCCCAAATTCGACTTAATACTTCTAACATTTGGCGTGTTAATTCCTGTAGTTTTTCTGGCTCGTCTAAAAATTCGCCAAATGGTGCATCGCCAAATGTTTTAGGAGGGTTGAGACGTTTTTCCTTTTCTTTTTGAATAAATTTTTCACACATATCCTTTAATGTGTTATCGGTCGGGATTAAGAATTTTCTACTTGGTGCCTTAAAAACATCCTGTAATGAACCCGGAATCGTAGTAAAGGGTTCAAAACTATCATCTAAAATACATGAACATAATGGGTGATCATAACCCAAATCTTTT